ATAACAAATAAATAATTAGCAAATGTAAGTTAGCACTGAGAAAGGATACAATCAATCAATAATATTTCTCATAAATTATTGAATGGAATTACACTTAATTGTTAATCAATAAATTCTTTTATATAATAAACACAATAAACTTATTTGTTATATAAGTATTGAGTATACAATAAATATTAAACTTATGATTCAACAGAATCTTTACATAGAATAATAATTATAGTCTTATTCATTACATTTGCAAAACTTATTTCTATTAATATATTAATTATTACTAAATGATTCAATTGATGAAGATTTGTTATTTACTTTATATCAATAACTTTTTAACATAAAAGTTTTCCACAAAGTCAATGCAATTCATTGCCAGTTAAACATGTAACTTATGAATTGACTAATTTATTTGATACTTATGATTTTATTTATTTATCCTTTGTTTCTATATTTAGAATTCTATACACTATACACTATGCATATAAAAATGTTTATAAATATAATATAACATTTTAATAACTAATAAGAACCTAATATCAAAATTACCACACAAATGATTTAAAAATATGTCTTGGTTTATTATATTTAAAATTTATTAACCAGGAATTCTAATTTATTTTATTTGAATATGATAGATCGCGTAAGTGTCAAAACCAACAAGCAATAAACATTTTTTGGTCTCCTAATGTTGTCCTGGTAAAATTTGACCGATTGTCTTCTTAGTCCTTTGTAGACATATTTGAAAAGGTTTTAATGTAACTTTTGATAACATTACTCTGTATATTAGTTTTGTAAATACTGTAGTAAAATATTTTTTACATAAATAATCTTTTAGTTATTAGCTTCTGAATTTATTAACTTAGAGTATAATTTCTTACAATTATTCTGTGATAAACGATATTATGTAACTATCATTTTACATATATCAAATATCAAAAAACGTACAATCGGTAAAATATGAATGTTATATAATATAATAAATGTACATAATCATAAATAATTAACATACACTATATATTTATTGTAATATATTTTTCAACAATTGTCAAGTGGTTTATATTATAATATATTATGTTAAAGTCGTTTTAATGTAATATTTTTTATGAACTGTCCTTTTAATAATATTTATAAAAGTATTTTATGTTAAATTAAACATCTAAATAAATATCTAAAATATTTTTTCATTATTTGTTAATACTGTAGTATTAACTTAATACCATAATTCTAGTAAATGGAAAATTAAAGTAAATTTACTAAAAAGGTGACTGAATTAACTAAACAGTAGGCATTATCTCAAGGTTTCAATGATACCTTTGTTTTACGTCAATTCAATCAATTCTTAGTTCTGAATATAATAATCAGTTATGAATTGCTATTAAACTAAAAGTTGTATAAAAGATAATTCACTGATTGACTTTAATCATCAAAATTATCAAAATATATCATATTAAATGTTCAAACCAAAAAATTAAATAATTAAATTGGTCAAGTATTTATTTATTTTATATCGATATACAAAAAAAGTATGGGTCAAAGTCAACCAAAAAAGCATCTCAATCTATAATAAATTATAAACCTAAACTAAATAATTAAAATATCTACCATAAAACATAACATAAAACTTTTTAGTAGATTTTACAAATTCAATCTTAATAAGTTATCCAATTTAAAAAATATATTTTATATTTTAAATATAGCCTTTTATACTTAGACTAAAGTTTCTAACTAAAATCTCTAATAATAATACAGTACTATAATAAGAGAATTATTTTATAATTTGTAAATTTGCAATTATCTTGGAATATTTACTACGATCGTTTTATTAAATATTAAAAACCTGTGTGCTTGCTGTTAATTAGCTTAAAAATCAAATCAGAAAAAATTAAATACTTATTAAATAAAATATCAAGGTTTTATTAAAATTCGTTAGTAATACATTTAAGTAATACATTAACTCAATAATACCAAAAGTAATATTATTGACATGTGTTTCATGAATATATTTCTTGAGAAATTAATTCCAATCATTAAACTTATTATGAAATCGCTTTATTATGTTTTATTGCCATACAATGTGTTTGAAATCCAATAAAAAAATGTTTTCTCAATTAGTATTCCGCAGACGCAGACATGTGTTACAAATAGTAATAAAAAGTATTTGTGTATTGAATAAGTGGAATAGATATGAAAAAGTTTCAACAAGAGTTATATTGTTCAATACAGATTTTACATAAAACACCTGTATATCTATTAGTTTGTATCAACTAATTGTGTTTGAATGCAAAAAAATGAATAGTTTGAGAATTAAAAACGAAACTGTACGAGAGTTTTTGGCTGAACTTTTGGGAACTTTTACATTAACTGTATGTATGCATGAATTCCATGAATTTACAAATAATTTGTAAAAATTTATTTTAAAAATTCCTACATTATTTCATTGTCTGTTCATTAAAATATCCATTTATGAGTTTGGTGCCAATTTTAGTTTATTGTAATAATAATTTGATAAAATTTTATAATTTGACCCAAAATTATATTCCATGAGTAAAGATATGTGGAAAATTCCGTCATATTCTTTAATTGTAGTGCACTATACTATATGCAGTACAATACAGTATTACTTGTTTTAATTATATCAAATCTAAATTACAATTTATAATTATATTAAAAATATAAAAGAATGAAAGTTTTTGTGTATGATAAGCATACCAATACTGTATACTTATAGTTTTAGATTATTATGACTTTTCTTTTTCAATCTTATAATAAATTTAATACAGTACATACTTTTATCAAAATAATGACACTTTATATCAATTTTCTCTTTTAACATATAAAAATTACAAATCTTTCAATTAATTGATTGATTTTCCTATTGTTTAATCAATAATAATATATTGAAGTACTGTATTGGTTTGCGAGATCAGACAGAGCGACTAATAGACTTCACTTGATATAATAATTTATACTTATATTTAACGTTGAATGTGTTAAATAAATATGTATTAAAAGAGTTTAAGATATAGTATATTAAATACATTATCTTAATCCACAACCTTTTTGGTTATGATTAGGAACAGGATTTATATGTGTTTGTGGTAAAATATATTAATGACAAATCCAAGAATTACATATTTCAAATTCTTTTGTAAAGTATTAAATTGTATATATGGTATGAATTGTATATCACGATCTTAAATCTCTTGTACTGTAAATCCTATTTATAGTTATAATTTATATTTAATACTTTGAGTGATATTTATTTTAAACAAAATTAAATATATTAATAATATAATTTGTATTTATATTTGAACTAATTGTAGTTAGTGATATAATTTTTATAATAGCTAAGTAACTAGTAAGTGGGTGCTTATTAACTATTATTATATATAATATATTTGTAATATTACAGATATCTAAAGAACACTTAACATAAATAAATTTATATAAATAGATTTTAAATATTAGATAGAAACTCTTAAGGTACTTATGAGTTATAAGTTATAACTATAAAACTTTTAAATATTTCTCAACATAAACTATAATTAAACGTATAATATGAATAACTTACAAGTTAATCAAAATCAAATATTAATTTATTTAATCAGAAATTATTATTTGTATTTACTTTTGCTTAAGTTTTAAATATTAAGGTTTTGAAATTTTTTAAAGAATCAAAATTTATAAGAAAGTAATAATTTATTGTATTGATTTAGTTCTCTTTACATAAATCTATCATTTTATACTAAAATTTCGCTCACAATATTGATCTAAAAGTTTGATAAATATAATAACATAACTAATATTTACAAAACACACTTGAGAATATTCAATATTAAGAATATTTTATATAGAGGTGCTGTAAATATTAATTACCAAGATACTTATTTTTATTCTATTTTTAAAGTAACTGATAAAAATAATATAATGACTACAAAATAAATTGAATTATATATTTTACGAATGAGTTTATCATTGAAATATTAAAATAAAAATAATTAATTTAATTGAAACATTATAAATGGAAATTATATTAATGGAATTATTTTTAATTTTAAAATGAGAACATTTTCTACTATAATTGCAATTCTTTGATTAACTTATAATGTATAATTTATAACACTCTTGTACAGAAATGCCACTCTATTGCATCAATTATTGTTTTAGAGTATAGTATTGTTACATAAAAAATATAGAAAATAATATTATAATTGGGGTCTTTGTAAAATACGTACAGAGCATAAGTTTATCAAATGTGTAAATAATCATATATTATTGAAAGTATATTTTATGATGACTTTCATTGAAGTGTATATCAGTTTTCGCAATTAACTTTCGAGTGGTTTATGAGCACATATGGCTTTGTTTGGAGTTCTATAGGAATGTAAAATAATACAGGTATATTTTAAGCAATATTATATTGCTATTGTATTTGTTATAAAAGATCGGATGAATGACTTAAATTGCACTAATATTAGTGTAATCTAAATCTAATCAAAAATGTTAATAAGTCATTGAATGACTTGTAATAATTAAAGTAAACTTTGAGTGAAATTAAATGAGTGAATAAATCATATTATATTCGTAAAGATAAACTCCAATATATTATAAATAAAATTAAAATATTAGAAACAATAAAGATTACTAAATTTTATTTTAAAACAAATTTTATAACTACAGTGTATCGGATGCAGTGGTAATGCGTATGTGACAGTAGCTAAGGAGGGGAATATCGGTCACGCAGTTGGACCCTGGATATGGGGACTGGTACTAAAATAAGATTTTACTTAGATTCAAAAGTTTTAATATTTCTAACCAAGTCAATTAATTATTAGTCCCTTACGGCTGCTATATATGTATGCGGAGGTGTTTCGGGTAAAGAATTTTTATTTTATTTGACATATAATTAAATAAATATAAAATAAGAATTTATAGGATTTGTAAAAAGCAAGTAAACTGTCTAAACCCATACAGGAGGACATGTGAACCCAGCGGTTACTCTAGGAATGGCATCGATTGGGAAGCTTTCGTGGCGTAAAGTAATCCATTATTTTTTGGGTCAATACATCGGAGCCTTTCTTGCGGCAGTCATTACATATGTGGTCTATAGAGAAGCTATTCTCGAGACGTTTGACGGACAGCTGTTGACCACCGGTCCCAACGCAACCGCCGGTATATTTGGCACTTTCCCAGCGGCAGGAATTTCCACAGGAACTGCCATTATAGATCAGGTTTGTTGTCTTATTAAAGAATTAAAATATTTGACTAGTTCATTAATTACTATTGACACTTTTACAATTACAATTTTAAATTAATAATAATAAACAAATGAATTAACAGATCGTTTCGGTGGCATTCTTTTTGCTCCTAATTAATGCCATTACAGATGAGAGGAATATGGCCTGTCCTAAGGGTATTCACTGCTTATTATTTATTTTAAACTAAACTAACCTTCATATAAAATAAAAACAATAACTCAAGAATTTATTAAACATATTTAATATGTGGAATAATGAAACAGTGCTAATTTAAAATATACTGGATATTACTAATATAACTAGACTAAAATAATTGATTTGAATATAAGGTTTGGTGCCAATAGCTATTGGGATGACTGATTTGGGTTTAATTGTGTTTGCATTTGGCTATAACTGTGGCGGACCTATCAATCCGGCCCGAGATTTCAGTCCCCGTTTGTTCACAGCGATGGCCGGTTGGGGAACAGACGTCTTCTCGTAAGTATTTTATATGTTTTTACAATAATTGCTTTCTTTAACTCATATTTACATTTATATTTGAATTGATAATTAGTTATAAATGATATGTCGTAAATGTAAAATTATCAATTATTTATACATCAAAATTTGGATTTTTAATATTTATTCTAACAATAATCAAATGTTTGCTATTATCTTAATTTATCACCTTTCTTATGAAATAAGTAGTAGTTTTAAATTTAGTATCGCATACATTTAAGCGATGAGAAAATATTATTTTATGAGCTTTTGTCGCCTATTCTAATAAATTGCTATCAACTCATATCTTTGTCTATACAATAACTATTTAATAATAAGTTATTTGTTTAATATTTAACTAAGGATTAATTGATTTAATAATTGTGTTAAATTGATAAAGCCTTTTATTATATGATTAGGAAAGTAGTGATAATATAAGTGGTATAATTACAGTGTTAACGATTACG